TTCCCCATTTAAGGACCCTTGCGATTACATTGGACCCATCCAGATATTTTAGGGTGTGCTAATTAGCAACCTTAATTCCATCTCCAACCTTAATTCCCCATTTCCATGTAACATAACATATTCACAGATTCCATGCATTAGAATGTGGACATCTTTATTCCACCGTGGACCATTATTCTGCCTACTCCTCTGGGTTCTTCAAGGGCCCCATCCTCAGGCATGGACAGCGGGCCTGGCCAGAGCACAATCAGGATGTGCTGGCCACTGTCAGAGAGGTCCTTTCAGCCCAGGTCCCCTCCCATCTGCCTGGTCCTCACTCAGCTCAACCAGTCCTGGACTCCTCTTCTGCCATCCTCTGCTCCCAGTCTTAGGTGGAGAGGAGCTGGGCAGGAAGTGCCAGGGAGCATGGACACAGAAGAGGGAGCTGCAAGGTTGGATTCACCAGGGCTGTGGGAGGCCCCAGGGGCCTGCACAGAGACCCTGAACTTTCCAAGGACTGGGGCCAGAGCCTAGCCTCTGAGGACTCAGACACTGAGGTCTAAGGGTAGCTCCAGGGCTGGAGGGGCATGCTGCCAAGTGTTGGAGCCCCTCCACCTCTGCATCCCTGGCTGCTCTTGACAGCCAGAGTTCACCTGGCACCTTTTCTCCGGTGATGACTGCCTGTCTGCCTTTACTCATTCCCTTTCCCCTCTCCTTCCCTGGGCCTCAGGCTGGAACCTTGGTGGGACCAGAGGGAACTGGAGGCCCCTGTGGAGCCTCTGTCCCTGGGCTGCTTGATGAGGGCCTGGGGATCTAAGACCCAGCAGGAGAGCCTGTGGGCTGTGTAGGAAGGCAGCGGCTGGACAAGGCCTTTGTCCCTCCAAGTACGGTGACCAACTCGCCTGAGTTTGCCCAGGCCTTTCTCAGTTTTAGCACTGAAAGTCTCACATCCCAGGAAACGCCTTAGTCCTGAGCAAACTGGGACAATTGGTCACTCTACCTCTAAGGCCCTTTGTACCTCCTAATGTATTCTAGATTACCTCTGCAGTCTGGACAGCTGGCCCTTTGGACTCTGGGCTCTTGGATGCCAACCTCTGCACGTTATCTGGGCGCAGAGAGACCTGGGGGCTGAGGAAGGGCCCCAGGCCAGTGTGGGGAAGTATAGACTCCTGCTTGCAGCGTTCCCAGTAGAGGCATCACTCGTGGAGACCATGCCTGTGTCTGCATGGGACAGAGCTCCTACATATATGCCCCGGGGAGTGAGAATTGTGTTTGCACCTGAGTTTCTAAAAATTTAACAGCCTGATTACTTCTGGGTGGTATACTGCAGGTGGCTTTAATTAATGTTTCTATTTACTCATCTGTATTTCTTACTCTGTACAATTAAACCATGATCCTGTTACTTGTGTACATTTTTAATAAAAGAAAGTAATTAATGACTCAGCCTTCCATCTCCAGCAGTCCTGCTGAGGGACACAGAGGGGTTGTGCTGCATGTTGTGGGACACAGAGGCCCTTGTTCTGAAGCCTTTGGCCTGGCTGCTGGTTGGTCGTGGCCCGTTCTGCCCAAGGCTCTAATGCAGGGGCAGAGCTAGTGGCCACTCTGTGCCCTCCTTGCCTCTCAGCCTGCTCCCCTGCACCCCGGAGACCAGCCTGGCTTATGCCCCAGGGAAAGACTCAGAGAAGCCAGGTGGGCAGTAGGCAGAGCAGGTGAGCAGATGCTGACTAAAGGGTTTTGCTGACCCAGAGTTTTGCAAGAGATGCTCTCAAGTGCCATTCCTGCCTGAGCACTGCGAGAATATGGAAGAGAGGAGCTGCTTGTCCCTGAGGAGCTTCCAGTCTGGTTGGAGAGACTGGGCACCCCACAGACCACATGGGCAGTGGCAGACAGGAAGGGGACAGGCACTGGACGGTGAGCTTTGTCTGTGTGGGCCGTCAGGGCCACATTGCACGTGTCTTAGTATGGCCAGAGACCAAAAATGGGGTCCTCCCGTGTGACCTGAGGCAGGGCCCCCAAGTAGGGGCAGAGAGTCTTCTGGTTTGAGAACTCTGGCTACTAGCCAGTCCATGATGGAAGGGTGGTGAGAATGGTCACCAGGCTCTTTCAAGTCTTGGAAAGTTGGACACCCCTTCAGACACTCTTCTCTGCCCCACCACCAGCCCCCCGCACCTATATGGGAATGCCAGGCTCCCACACCTAAAAACCGAGCCCCCACCATGGCTCTCAGCATCCTGACATTCAGCTCCTCTCCCCATGCTGGCAAGCCCAGAAGGAGCACGTGAAGGGGAGCCCTGGGTCCCCAGCAGAGGCAGCCACCCTTCACCTCCCACAGGCAAGGTCAGCAACCCCCACCCCAGTCCACCATTGCCCTGGTGTGGCTGATGTGACAGAACTTCTTGACTTGTTCTTAGTTTTAGGAAAGTAGTAACTATTCTGGCCTAATGACTCCCCCCTATCCACCCCAGATCCCTTGGGGGATCTGGGACCAACAAGGACCAACTCCTTGTCCACACAACTCCCTCGTTCCATGAAGTCAGCTTTCTCAGAGAAGCCTGCACACAATCCCCCCACCTCCACCCCAGGACTCATGTGGCCTGGGCTGCTTACTTTGCTCCTGAACTAAGATCCCCAGCATAGCTCTTCACCTCTCTGAGCAAAGGTGTGGCTGAGTATTTTTAACTGCTGTGGAAGAACTCACTGTGCCTGCCCTAATTTCTGGGCTGATTCAGGATGGACAGTGTCAGGTAGCAGAACTGGACACCCCCACGTCCACCTGGCTGTTAAGGGAAAGAGGAGGCAGAAACAGAGAAGGAGACCCAGGCCAATCCAAGGCATTTGGCCAGAAATGGAAGTGAGGGCCGCACCCAGGCTGCCTCTCAGCTGGGTTTGTGGGGCGAGGAAGGGCATTCCCTGAAGGAAGCCTGTGAATGAGTCTGAGAGGCCCCCTAATGGGGGGCATCAACCAGCCAGCTGCCAAGAGTGCTTGGTTTTCTCAAGGACCAGGAAGCTGGGATTAGCCTCACAACAGCCGTAGGGTGACTCCAGCCATGTGGCTGGGAGGTAGGATGCACCCCTGAGTGGTCCTGACTTGTACAATCACCCAGAGTTTAGAGCTCTGAGGACCCCAGGACCCAACAAAGGGTCTGGTTGAGAGCAGGAGAACAGGAGAGCTCTGGTTGCTTTGCTCAGACAGAAACGTGGCTGAAAAGTCCTCTTTGATCCCTTGAGCTGAGATAAGGCCTAGCAGGCCAGAGTCCCCTGGAGCTGGGAGCAGGTTCAGAGACAGGCTTGTGTGGTTGAGCTGCCCCCTGTGCTGAGGCCAAGTTCAAGTTACAGGCCTGCATTCTACCCCCCTGGGGCCCCACCCCTCGAAACTGCAGGTGGCCTCCAGGGCATAGGTGGGGCATCGCTTCCCTTGAGGACCAAGCCAAACCCCACCCCACTGGGGCCCTGGGGCTTGTAGCGGCAGAGCCACATTGCCTGGGGTGCGGAGAGGGGAGCTGAAGACAGGGTGGGGTCCTACACAGTGTCCAGAGCAGCTGCAGCTTTTGCTGCCTTCCCTCAGTATCCCCAAATGCCTTCTTGGATTGAGGTGCTAGTGCCCTGCCCTGGGCCAGCTCTCCCAAACTTCCTCCCCAGGCCTCAGTTTCCTCCTCTGCAGGCAGCCTGATATTGTGGAACCAGTCCCAGTTCTGGGCACAGACAGATGTGGGTTGGAATCCAGGCTCCATACTGATTAGCTGAGTCATCCTGGGGGAGCGCCTTCTGCTGGTTGTACTTTGGTTTCCTGGTCTGTGAACGGGGGGCTATGGTGGTGTACCAGTGCCATGGTGCCTATGGGGTGTTTGGCACAGCACCCGGGGCAAAGTGAGCACTTGAGGCCTGTGTTGTCATCACCCAGCCAGACTTCAAGGTCCTTTCCAGTTCCGCCCATTTCTGAGCTCAAGGAGATGAGAAAAGCCCATATCCAGACCTCTCACCCTCAGACATCCCTCACTGGGGCCTTATCTGAAGGGGGTATTGCCATGTCAGTGGTTCTCAACCTGTGGTTTTCAGAAACACTGTTCTGATCAAATACACCCCTCCACAGAGATTCTGTGTGCATTAGCCCAGCCAGAACCCTGAAGAGACGTGGAAGAATGAAACCTGCTTCATGTGAGGTCATCCAAGGTTTTCCTAACACATTTGTGCATGGACCCGTTCCACAGTACACTGCAGGGCTGGTATTCAGCACCAATACAGTTATTGTTGGCTGTCAAAACAGTAAAATACTTTTGAACTGGCAGGTAGATAGCTCCAAGCCCCTGCCCGTATCCTCCAGCCACCCCAGCCCCTCCCTCTCAGTTCTGCCCCCAATCCAGTATCTACCTGTACTGTCCAGTATGGTAGCCCCGGGCCACATGTGGCTATTTAAATTTTAACTACTTAAGTAAAATTTAAAATTCGGTTCCTCCATTGCACTGGCCACATTTCAAGTGCTCAACTGGCACATGTGACTATGCCACTGCTGACTATATTGAATAGCACAGAGAGGGAACACTTCCATCACTAGAGAAACTGGACAGCAAGTAATGCCCAGCACAGCAGGCCTGGGGGACCTTTTTGGGCTGGTGTCTGTGCTGACTGTCCGTGACTATGCTGTATCAATTATTAACTTCTCGGAGGAGCACCTGAGTACACGTGCATTTGAGTTCAGCAGCACGTATAGCCTATGGCACATTCCTCAGAAGAACTCAAAACCTAACACTCCCCAGGCCCCAGGAGCCCAAATTCAACTCAGCCCTGCCTATAAAGCCAAGGGCAAGTGACTCTATTTACATGAGCATGTCCCTGTGCCATGACTGTCCCCTCCTCCTGCCATCTTCTCCGTGAACATAACTGAAAGGATTTTGCAATAGGTGCATGTCACTGCTCACCCCAAAGTCAAGCTCAGGCAGGATGCCAAGAATGAGTCTGTTAGAATGTCTCTACAAAAAGTAAAATCATTTGTAATTTATCTCTAAAGAAAAGGCCACACCCCCTATAAACAATTGACTTTTTATAAAAAGACAAATGTACATATTTACACACATGTACATACGTGATCACACATGACTTAGTGATTAGATGGAATTTCCAATTTTAAAAGTCACACCACGGCGCTCACACTTCCCTCCCTGGGCCTGCTGAGGGCTGCTGGGGCCTGCCTGAGGGGACAGGTGGGCGCAGGGCAAGGCACTGTATAAATAAATGCAAAGGCCAAGAGCTTGGGGGAAATGTTAGTGTACACCTCTGATCAGATGTGTGGCAAGGGCCACAAGAAAAAGTGCCATGTTTTTTCCCAAGCCCCTCAGCCCAAGCAGGAAGCAGGGCAGAGCTCCTCTGAGGCTGAGGGAGTATTGTCCCACAGGACCCCATTTTTCCTTCACATTTCACTGGCTTTGGAATAGTCCCCAGGGCTCAGAAGGGAAGGGAAGCGGTTGTTTGGGAACAGGATTCACTTAGTGCAATTGTCTCTTAGTGCAGAGCCAGCCCTGGGGTTGGTGCTATGCTTTTCTGAGGTCACTGGTCCACTCCCTCGGGCCAGCTCAGTGACAGTGAGACCCTCTCCAGGTAGCTGGGCTCAGAGGGGAAAGCTGTAGGCTGACTCCTTTCTGAGACTTCCATCTGACACACCAATCTCAGAACCCCATCTTCTGGAGAGGCAGGGCCAGCTTTAACCCCACAAGATGAGCCCAGACCTTGGCCTGGCAGGCCTCAAGAGGCCACTGTCCCAAGGAGGGAGGCCCCATCCCCGCTCGGCAGTGGGGTCACACTTTTGCCATGTCAAAGGGCCCACAGGAGTCCTGCTTCTCTGCACCACAACCACCATGATGCCAGGTCCTGCTCGCCTAAGGAAGTAAAAGGGGGCCAGGGGCCCAGCTATGGAGCACAAGGAATGGCCTGGATGGAGGGTAGCCTGACTGGAGGCAACAGGCTATCCAGCCAGCTGGTGTCCATGTTCTTCAGATCAGAAGATATCAGTCCAATATACCCTAGAAGATGTGAAGAAGGTTGTGTAAGGATGGAGGTGGAGGCAGGTGTGTTCTTCCTCCACTCCCCAGCCCTGTCCCTGAAGGCCACAGACACAGCAGCCGCTGCTGTCCACCCCACGGAGCAAGCCCCCCTCATCTTCAGGCAAACCTGAGGGCATGGGAGCAGCAGCCAATTTGCAGGCTGTCTATACCCAGATAAGTTTAAGAAGGATGCTTTACTTCTGCTGCTCCCTAGCTCTGCCCCCAAGCCTTCCCCACCTCTTGCATGATTCTCCCTTCTCTAAGAAACCACATGGATCCAGGGGCTTCTTACCCCCAGGGCTGTCAATTTCTGGCTCCTCCTTGCAGCTGAAGTCTCCATAGACAGAGGGGGGCTGGGCCCCAGGTTCATTGAGCAGGTACCCCTTCCCATCGACGTTTGTCGGCTGCCACCCCGACTGCTCCAAGAGCTGGAGACAGAGGAGCAAGAAGCCATCAGCTCACTTCTGGTGTAGACTCACCCTGTGCCCTGCCCTCAGAGACCCAAAGCTTCCCAGCCAGGATCACACCCTGGCCATTCTCACATTCTCAGATGGATGCAGACATGGAGTGCAGATAGGACAGGGGCCTGGGAGGTAAGGGTCTGCCCTGGACCCATACTCCCTCATCCACCCTCTGGCACAGAATCTCCAAGACTTCCCTTTCAACTGGGTAAGGGCATACCAACTGGGAGTTTGGCTTAAGGCAGTGGTTAGCGTAATAAGTGAAGAAAGATGACTAGAAAAGCTAGAGATAGGAACTATGCCCATGTGTCAATTCTCTGTGCTGAGGGGTACTGCAAAAACTTTTTTATATTCACTTTTAAAACTGAAGCAGAAAAAAACCCTAGAGGATAATTTCCTAAAAAAAAAAAAAAAAAAAAAAAGCCATCGCATTATAGATCCCAAAGGCTGATTATTGAAACATGATGTACATTTCCCAAACTAGCAGGGCTGGGGCACGTTGGGGCGGACGACACTTGCCAGGGACCCGGCGCTGATGGTGGCTGACTCAGAGCTGCCTGAGGCCCTGAGGCCTGCTCCCGAATAGCCTGTTGGAAATCAGGCCTCCCTCCTGTCCTCACTTCCAGTGTCTTTCCCACCAGCCAAGGAGGGCAGTGGTCCCCAGCCACATGGATATGGCACTTGTAGGACTATGCAAGCAGCCAGGTCACAGCAGCAGCTGCCTACCCTCTGATTTGGAAGCTCTCACTGGTTCTCTCTCTCCTCACTGAGAAGCAGCTACTTCAAAAGAGTGCCCAGGGAGGAAGGGGCTTACCTTCATGATATCCTCAGTTAATTTCCCTTCCTCATCCTCGTCTGTTGCAGCTGTGGATGGGAAGGAGCAGAGAGGTTGGCCGGCAGTCAGCCAGGCTCGCCCTGCAGTTCTAGTCCCACCAGGTCCCCCTGCCCCTTCACGTGCACACACACACTGGCCTCCCAGCGGACATCTGGCTGCCATGGAGATTCCAGAACAGGACACTGTTGCAGTGACTCAGCCTCCCAAACTCTGAAGCCACACCTCTTCCCACCCCCTCGCTTCCTTCCTTACTCTTGGAGACCGGGCTGCAGAGAAGGCAGGAGAACCAGCAACCTTAGACCAAAATGCAGCCCCTGGCCCCCTTTCCTCTTCTTTCTAGCCCACCATAGTCAGCTCAGTGCCAGGTGGAGTTCTGAGCATCTTTTCTCTCTCAGGAAATCCCTCCCAGGACCCAAATAGTCAGGCAAGCAGGCTGGGCCCCAGGAGCACGCACCTTCAGAAGTGGAGGGCATGGGCGACACCTGAAAGTTGTACAGGTCACTGGTGCTGTCCGGCACAATTTCCGCTGGGATGTGCCAGTCGGGGAGAGTGCTACTGACGGCACATGGTGACAGCGCTTCAGGACAACAGAAACCACAGGTCAGAGCTGTGTGCTTTCTTAGTTTGTGAGACATCCAGCATCCCCAACAGGCCACCATCCACAAGCACAATGCCTCCTAGACCCAAGTGAAAGAGCCATCCCACTGAGCTCTGTGTTCCCCTGCCATACCTGGCCCACCTCACCTGGAGTAAGGGCCCGTTCAATCTCTAAGTCCTGCCCCATGTAGCTCTGAGCTGTGTAGCTGCTGTGGTCATCAGGCAGGGTGGAACTGCTGAGTCCATCAGAGAAGGTATCGGGGCTGGAGTCCCCACATGACTGCAGAAGGAGAAAAAACCTTAGGCCCAGGCTTGCTGTGGCACTTCTTCCACTGCCCACCCTGACTCACAGCTGACCAAAGGACAGCTGCTGAGGGCCACACTCACCTTCCTCTTGGCCTTGCTCTTAGCATCTCGGCTAGACTTGGACTTTCTCTCTGTGGAGCAGATAGGCTGTCAGCCTTGGTACAGGCATGCTAGCCCCAGATGCCCTTCCTCTCTGCGGCCTCCCTCCCTGAGGGCTTCCCGAGGACTCAGAGCCCTTGGATACCTTTCCTCTGGTTCTTGGTGAGGGGTGGAAGCATCCGGTACACCCGCACAGCTGAGCTGCCCTTGTTCCTGCTCTGGTCCTTCACCTCCTCGATGTCTGGCAGGGAGTTCATGGCACAGCGAAAGTTCGCCTTCCATGTCTTAGGATCTGGCTCCTTTTCCCCTGCTTTGTATCGGCCTAATGGGAAGAAGAGTAAGAAGATGGTCAGGGCCATAGGCGGGGATCCTCAGCTGCCCCCTGGCCGGGGAGGAGGAAGGCAACAGTATCCCTAAGCTCTTATGCTGCCAGAGATCCACAATGATCAAAGCAGCAAGTATTCCTGGGGGACACTCTGCAGGCCCTGGCCCCTGGGGCTTCTCCAATGCCCAGGCTTGGCTCAAACACATTCAGCAGGCCTCATTGAAGGGCCTAGCCAGCACTAGACGGCCCAGACGCCCAAAAGTGCTATCTTTGTCCCAGACCATGCCCAGTCTCCCTGCTTGGGCTGTCAGCAGCCAGAGGGTAGGGAGTGGGGCTTATCTGATATTTCCAAACATGGGAGTGCACACAGAGTAGGCATCAAAGAACAGTTACTGATAGGTGGACTGACTGGTCTGGGATGGGCCAAAAGCCCCATCCGTCAAAGATTAAAGGAGGCTGCCAACCAGATGGGCTTTGGGCCAAGGACTTTGGTCAACATCAAGAAAAAGGAAGGCCTGGGTCTCTTTCAGTGTCCTGGCTCATAGCTGCTTGTGCCAGGGAGAACTTTCTTCCAGCCACAACCTGAAGCCACACTTTCTAAGATTTTCACAGGTCTTCACAAATTCCTTTGAGAACTTGCTGAAAGAATGGACTCTCTCCCCAGAAACATGGGTCTGTCCTGTCCACCCCTGAATTCTATACACCTTCTCAGGAAGCTCAGAGACCCCAATGAAGAGCCCCTCTATTAACAGAAGTGCCTCCTCTCATCTCTTCCCTGGCCCCTCCTGGGCTGAAGTCCAAGGCACACACCTGTGTGAATGGCCCAGCTCCGGAATAGACAGGCGTCCTTATTGATGTCCCAGCCATGCTTGGCCGCGTGCTTCCATGGGATCTGGAAGATCATCTCCTCCTGAACAGCACACACACACACACACACACACACACACACAAGGCTGTGTCAGCTCAGAGACCACAGGTTTTTGGCCTGAGTCTGCCCAGCCCCCCAGGTGTGGGAAAAGGCTGACTTCCCCTTTTCACCCTGACATCTGGCTTGGGTCGACCCATCCTGAGATTGGCGTAAACCAGCTACTCTATCACTCTGGATCTCTCAGAAGGGGCTCTGGGTTCTGATGAGCTGTGGTACCATCAGCTCAGCAAAGACCTCACTCTGTCTGTTACAGATGTGCTGGAACCCATACAGAGCTCCCTGGGATGCTTCTCTCTGGCTTGTCAGCACCAACATGGAAGTGAGAACTCCATCAATTAGATGGGGCTGCTTAGGACACCTGGGACCACTGGCTCCTACACAGGGGGTCCTGGCCCTACACCTGAGGGAGCTCTGGGCCAGACTTGGATGCTGACTACCTGTGTGATCCTGGCACTGTCACTGTTCCTCTTTGTCCCTGTCTTCTCTTCTATGGAATGACAAAACACAGTGACAAATATAAAGACTAAGGTCTCACTGTTGTTACTGGTGATTAACAGTATGGATTTTTGAGTCAGACTGATCAGGTTCAAATGTTGGCTTTATCACTTTTTATGTGATCTTATTTTCTACTTCTCAGTGCCTCAGTTTCCTTATCTGAAAATGGAGATATTAATAGGATCTACCTCACAGGGCTATTTTGAGGATTAAATGACACAATGTAAGTAACATACTTAGCATGGTGCCACACTCCTAGTGAGTATACAGTAAGCATTAGCTATTATTATGAATACTATTATTACTATTAAGTCTGCAGGGTCTGTGTTGCCCTTTGTGCACCAGCAAGAGGCTTCTTGGGCCTGGGCAATGGTGCAAGGTTAATTCTTGGGTCCCCTGCTGAGCCAGCCACCTTCCTGCCAGCAGTGCCCACTTCTCTGTCTCCCATCAGTCTGACTGGAGCCCTGTAGGATGCTATGTGTGTTTGTAGGAGTCTCCCTCAGAAGAGACCAGAACTCCAGCTCTGCAGATGCTGGCAGAGCCCTGCTGCTGGGAACTGTCAGTGCCCTCAGGTGGGTGCCCTGTCCATACCCTGAGGAGGGAGGAAGGCAGAAGTTGGACAAGTGGGGCCCAGGGCTGGGCCTCCCACACCCCCTGCATGCAGGAGTCACTGGGAAACACAGCTGCCTGCTCCCTATTACTTCCCTTTTCGAACTGCATCTGAAGCTTTGGTCCCCCAAAGAACATGGGTTAAAATAGCGGCAGACAAACCCAAAGAGTTACACTCACTTTATTAATCCAGATCAGCCCGGGGATTTGGTTGGAATTAATCTGCATCTCTAGCCAGGGTCTCATGCGCATCCGAGTGATGGGCATGTTGGCTGTAAAGAGAAGACAGAAGGCTCCTGTTTGGAATCTGTTGAGCAGCCATAGGCACTACCCTGCCCCACCCCAGGTCATTCAGTTACCTTCCCCACTTTCAGCCAGGTCCCAGGTACTACAATCGTGAGGAAAGGGGCTTTCACTGAAATAAATCTGCCCTCCAACTTCTGCCCCTTCCCTCACCCCCTCCTAGAGAGCCTTGGGAGGAGACAGGCTTGCAAGTGATAGTTTCAGGATTTATGTGCAGGAAAAAGAGGCAAAATACACAGGAATCTTAATACCAGAACTTTTCTCCCCAAATTCAAATCCTTTGGGAAGGGAGGGGATTCTTTTGCTTGATGCCAAGAAATGTCCCTACTTGAGTTGTTGCCACTGGCTGTGCACCTTTCCCGAAGGGCAAGCAGTCACCCTGCACCCTGGGCATCCTCCCCCGACCCCCATCTATTCTACGCCTCCCTGACAGCCACAGTACAGAGGCCGGGACGCAAACCCTTCCTGCCTGGCTCCCCTCCTCGGCGAAGTGGCCCAAGAAACACCTGTGGCGCCTCCTCCCGCAGCTCCAGCAGGTCCTCCAGCCACCCAGGGCAGCAAGCCCCAGCCCCCGCCGCTTGCATAGATAGCCTGAAACCTGGGGCCTCGGCGCGGAGCTGGGACCGCCGAAAGCCGCCTTCGGGAACACAGAGCGCCCACGCGCGGACGTACACTGGAGTTCCCGGCACGGCTTGTGGATGCGCGCAACGAACACTCCGGGCCACCTAGAGGCCCCCGGCAGCTTCGCGCATACAGATCTGAGAAAGCCACCGCACGCCTGCAACCTCTGCCGAGTGGGCGGTCCACGCCGCGGTCCGCCCTCCCCGCGCTGCCGCTCGCCGCTCCTCCAGCGCCCTCCCGAGACCGCTCGGGGACCCAGGCAACGCCGCGCACCCGCGACTCTCCTGCCTGGCGTTTTCGGCCCCCACTTCCTGGTGCCCAGCGCCCCTTTGTTCGACGCCACCGGTCCCTCCGCGGCGAAGGCGGCTCACCTCTGCAGCGGGCGCGATCCGGTGGCGGCGCGCGATCCGGTCCTGGCGCAGCGGGAGCTGCTATGCCGGCGCGGGGAGCGCGATTCCGGGTGGGAGCGAAGGCAGAGGATGCCCGGGTCGCGGGGCTGCTGGGCACGGTTGGCCTGGGCTTGGCACGGCTCCTGCTGGCCTCTGCTCCGCGCGACTCGGACGCACGTCCTGCCTCGACGAAGGAGTGGCGCGCTCTGCCGGGGCAGCGGCGCCGGCGAGAAATCTAAACACTTAGCGGGATTCCCCCAACCCATGCTCGGCCCCGCCTCTAAAGAGCCGCGAGGACGCCGATTGGCCGGCGCCGCCACATCATTTCGGAGAAATCAGGCTGTTGTAGAGCTAGCGGCGAAGGGGAAGTACAGGGCGGCTGCCTCTCCCCACCCCCTCCGGCCCGGCGCCACCGCCCCGGGGCGTCCGCGGGCCCGCCCCGCCCTCTCCCACTCCACCCCCACAGCAGCTAGCCCGGGAGAAAGGCTGTCCTGGAAAGCCGAACGCCCTCCGGCCCCGCGGTTACTTCCCTCACTCCGCGTTCTCCCAGCCTGCTAGCTCCTGTGGCTATCTCTTCACTCTCCTCTCCGGAGGTGGGGACATCAATCTCCAGAGCGCAGGTGAGGGGGTCAGTCGGGCACCTGCCGCCCTCTTCAGAGTGAACACCAAGATGGAACCCCTGAAAAGTAACCTGGTTCCTCAGGCCTGTTAATGGGGTGTCAAGAAGGGAGGATTTTGACCCTCACACTGCCCCCTTTTTGAGGGGTGACACACCTCCAGATCACTCGCCTGCCCTGGGAAAGTAAAGGAAAGCCTACTCTGCCTGGCGTGCTGCTTGGGGCTGCCGGACGAGAGGAAATCCCAGGCTGGCTGCTGCTGGCACAGCCTCTGGACCTCAGTTTCCTCAACTACGAAATAGTGATAGCCCTACCTTGCTGGTCTACAGTGACAGAGAGAGATGATGTCTCTAAAGCTCCATGCTTTTTGGGCAGCAGATGCTGCATGGTTTGCAAGGTCCCTGCTGGGAGTACAATAATGACCAGGGAGACACCTCTCCCCCTTTACCGTCTACATCCCTGGGACTGCCCCACGTCTGGCCTTAGGGAAAGAGAGGAGAATTGTTTCAGAGAATCAAGGACTGCTGAGCTGGGGTGGGGTAGCCTTGGTCCCTCCTAGCACTCCTGCCTTAGGCCACCTCCACATCCTCACATGTCCCTTGCCTGGGAGCTCCTCAGTGGCAGCCTTGGTGTTGTTTCTGGGTCCTCAAGGCTTGGCCCAGAGAGGTTCTTGGCAGCATGAGGGCATTGCTTATGGCTGGCCAAGGCCATGGGTCTAGCCAAAGGGTTGGGGAGCCCAGGCCCCAGGCCACTTGGGAAGGGCAGCTACTTAACTTGTGTGCTTACTAGACCTTGCTCCACTTGTACTTCCAGAGGCTGCGCTGTGTTCCTTTCCATGCATAACTGTGGCCCAGCAGGCTCCTTCCTTCAACTCCTCAAAGGTGCTGACTCAGAAGTAAATCACTCTTCCAGGCAGGGCTGGTTGTGTCACTCCCCAAACCCCAGCTCTCCTTCCACAGCAGCACCCAGTTGCAATGATGCAGTCTATAAATAGACACATTGATGCAGCATTCCACCTGTCAGTCACTCTACTGCCTCCCTCCCACAGAGGAGATGGATGGGTTAATCCAATTCTGGTGCCCCAGCATCTGATGCTGTGAATAACGCCAAGCTTGGTTCTCAGGAGACCAACAGGAATGGGTCAGAGCTGTCTCCAGACAGTGGTGGGTGCAGGAGCTGGGAGAGGGCAGAGGCAGGAGGAACTGTGAGGAATGAGCCTAGCTGGGTGTCAAGGAAAAGGGAAGGTGCTGAGGCCCTGGAAGGGGGAGAAGGGGTGGAGTGCTTTAAGTGACAGATAGGAGTGGGAACCCACTACAAAGACCAAGACCATCTGAGCAAGAAGAGCAGAAAACAAGTGGCTTCAGAATTGTGAAGTCTGTTCTCTGTGCAGCAAATGGATGCTTGTCCTGTCTCTAAGAATCTGACACGGCCATGGAAAATTCAGAATGAGATTAGGGAGAGGAAGTTTGCAGCTCATGTGGTCTGAGAAATTGACCAAAATGACCCTGTGAAGGCAAGAGAAGACTGTAAAAAGTGCTTTAAAACAAAAACTTTAATTCACAGATAATCATCTATATGTGCATCTGTATATATAATGAGCATCTTTCCATGTCATGAAATGTACTTCTGCAATATCGTTTGTAATGGGTACGTATTATTCTATCATAAGGATAAATAAAAATTTACCCAATTAATCCCCTATTGTAGGACATTTAGGTTATTTCCATCTTTTCATAATACAACACTCTGTAGCTAAATCTTTGTGCACATCAATAATTTTTTGCTTAGGAAAAATTCCCCAATGTTAGGATTTACCAATGAAATTGTCATTTACATCTTTGAAGTGTTCTTTGACTTTTTTTTTTTTTTTTTACTTTTAATTTTAGGGATTCTTATTTTATCTTGAAGTCTATAAAAATCCACTTATCATGATTGGGGGTGCTATACGCCAAATCAGCGAAATAAAGCTAAACCCTATTTAAGCACCTCAAATTTTTATTGTAACTGCTCTTAATGAATCCCATTCTAAGATGTAGCACACATTCCCTGTGACACTAAGCAGAACACATAGAATCTTCCCTAGGTATTTCTTAGTAATTCACGGTGGGCCCTTTCCCCTCTCTGCCTCAAAATACTCATCGTCTGTAATTCCAGCCATCCCCTCTGGGCAGATGACTTCCAAACCGCAGCTCCAGCTGCCTTCTGGACACTCCTCTACAACCCTCTCCACAAATTCACACACACACAAGCAGAACTCTTTCCACCCCTTTCCACACTGTTCCCAGCAGCTTTCTCTCTTCCTAATTCCAGCTCCCTCCCTGGGGAAGTCTTTCCCATTTTCCTCCCCTCTTGGCCTCACCTGATCCTCTGGGTCTTCCTTCCTCACATCAAATCATGTCTTCACGTTCCAGGACCAGATTGTTGTGGCCACAGCCTCCTCTTGGGCCTCCCTCCCCATCAAGCCTGCCCCTCCTGGCACCTCTGCACTAGGATGATCTCCCTAACTTTGATGATCTCCCTAATATTCAGGTCCACCCAGGAGCATTCTGAGTTCCCCAAGACTCCTTAGCCCCACATTCAAATCATTGCTCGCTCTGGTCCTAGGGGTCCCATTCCAAACTTCTCTTCCACGGCTCCACTACCCTTGGCAGTAACTAAAGGGCGTTGGAAAGAGAACACAGGATTTGAGTCTGAAAGCTGGGTTTTTGTGCTTTTGCTACTTGCTGTGTGACCTTAGGCAAGTTACTCTCCCTCTCTGGGCCTCAGTTTTCTCATCTGTAAAATAGAGATACTCTCTGCGCATCTCTCCTAATTGTTGTGAAGATGAAATCAGACTATCAAACTCCTTTCTTTTTTTTTTTGTGACGAAGATTAGCCCTGAGCTAACATCCAATGCCAATCCTCCTCTTTTTTGCTGAGGAAGATTGGCCCTGGGCTAACATCTGTGCCCATCTTCCTCCTCTTTATATGGGATGCCGCCACAGCATGGCTTGACAAGCAGTGCATCGGTGTGCGCCCGGGATCCGAACTGGTAAACCCCAGGCCGTCGAAGCGAAGTGCACGCACTTAAGGGCTACACCACTGGGCCAGCCCCTCAAACTCCTTTCTAAACTGTAAAACATTAGTCAAATGACATGTATTAACAGTATGCATGAACCTTTCACTGCATTTCCATTCTCTGAACACAGTTTGTATGTTCCCCCTTCTGGGGAACAAAGGCTGCATTTTTCTGCAAGAGACCTGAGCAGGTTCCTCACACCTGCAGCTGGAGTTAGCTGGGGGTTAGCTCTGGAGCAAGGTCTCACTCACAGGATGCCTCCCATCTATACTGTCACTCAATGAGGGTAAATATATTGTGCGGTTTCTCAGTATGGGGCCCTGGGGTGGCTGGCAGGAGGCTGACTGGCTGGCAGAGCCTCCTTTGAGTTGATTTCTGCAATCAGGATGCTGGGGGCAAGATCACCCGTGTGGGAGCCTCTTCCCTGATGGACCAAATCTTGTCCCCAGCCCCCTCCCTAGGCTCTCAGAACACACTGCACCCCCTACATGGGCTCCAGTTAGTCCTGAAGTGCAGGACCCAGCAAGGCTTTAACTAGGTTTTTGAGAGTAGGGCATCCTTGGGCCCCTGCAGGGGCTTGCTACCCAGAGAAGAGGCCACAGTCTCCAAAGCAGATGAACCCCCAGCAGGCGATCCAGCCTCCCAGGTCCAGAGGGAAGGCTCTCTTAGATGTTCCAAGTCCCTCCCAGCCATCATCTCTATTTTCACAGCAAACCTGGGAGGCAGGCAGTCCTAAACTGTGAAGTACAGAGCACCAGTCAGGCATAAAATCATCCGAAAGCACTCAAAAGCTTGAAGACAGAATCCAGGCTTAATCACCCTGCCTGAAAGGAGCCTAGTTGGAGAGAAAGAAAGGCGTTTCTTAATTCATTCAACAAATATGAATCGCACTCCTGCTCTGGGTCAACTCCAGGTTTGGCCCTGGGGATATGCTGGGGCACGAGACGAGCCCCTCCCCTCTCACAGCTCTGGCAAAAATGCTGTATGACACAGCAGAATAAACGTCGTGGTGTTATAAAAGCCCTAAACGCAGAGTGGGAGGCTGCCGCTGGCTGGGAAAGCACTAGGGGGTCCTGCATTGTAAGAGTGGGCCGAGAAATTGCTCCAGTGCTCTGGGCTGTTCCGGAACTCCGGAGGTGGAGCGGGCGTCAGTGTGGGCTGCCGCTGATGCCCTGCGCAGTTTCATTTCTTATAAACACTGCGTTGGGAGGAAAGAGGCCTCAGCTCCCCATCCGCCCTGTGGGGCCCCGAGGCGGGGGCAGGCTCTGGGGCAGGCCCGGCGGCCACGACCTGGAGTGGGGCTGGACGGGCGGGACCAGCACCCTCCTCCCCCGCGTGAATGGGTCCTGCAGCGCGGCCTGCGCCCACTGTCGTTCGCCCGGAGCGCCGGTAGCAGCTTCTTGGCCTTTATGGGGTTAACAGTCCCCCTATTTCTCCCTGGGGAATCCGAGTCCTGGTCTGGAGCCCCCTCCTCCCCAGGTGACCCACGCTCGCGCTACCCGGGCCTAAGCTGGCTGTCTGTGTGTGTTTGGAGGGGAGGGGGCACAAGCCCTTCAGGGCCAACTTCCACGTT